CCCTGGAGGCCGAAAGCGGCCGACAACCTGCCACCGCGATATTTGTTGCGACGCGTGCATGTCTGTAGAGAACAGAGGAGCCACCCTCAGAGTAGGCACCCCGACAAATACATAGCCACTTGTGGTTGACCCCCCCACGGAAGGAATCGCACAAGACAGGGCTGCTTAGTAAACGGCCAGGTCCGGTTTGTCAACTAGGGCTCCCAACTTCGCGCTCCGCGCTCCGCGCAGCGCGAAGCGCGAATAACTTCGCGCTCTCGCGCCTCCCCCCCAAAGGGAGAAAAGGAGGACGAGGAGGAGGGGGAGAGGGAACGAGGACCGCGAAGCGCGAATGACTTCGCGCCCTCGAGGGCGCCCTTGGTCAACGAGGAGTGATGGGGGTCGGGGCGGTTCTTCCTCCCTGGAGTCTCGGGGGTGGCCTCGCCGCTCGCGCCGGCCCTGCCGAGGACGGGGCTCGCGGGGGCGGAGACCTCCTCCTGCGGGGCGGCAGGCCGCCCGAGGAGCGGCAGCTGCCCGGGCGAGCCCCCCGCCAGGCCCACGTGCCCGGCGGAGTGCGAGCGGGCGGCGCCGCCCAGAGAGGCGGAGGCCCGCGTCCCCTCGTCCAGCCGCGCCGCCACCCGCGCCGGCGAGGTGCTCGCTCGGGGGCGGCGACGGGGGCCGAGAGCCCCAGGGGAGGGCACCACACGCGTGGCAGTGGGGGCGAAGCAGCCCCAGCGAGGGCCGTGCGTGCCACGATGGCCCATGCGTGTGATGCCCGCCCCCCCCATGGGCTCAGGTCGGGCATGTCCTCCTGCAGGAGGGTTCTGGGCGGAGCATAAAGAAAGGCCAGGCAGATCCCAAGATAGTCCAACAAAAAAATCACACCCAGACTATTTACTGGGACTATGTTTGACTAGTCCTCCCGTAGGCGGACAGGCTCGACTTAATCCTGGGCTCTTCGCCCTGATCGTCGCCTCCGGCTCGCGGCTCCAGCGATGCCCGGGCCCCGCCCGCCTGGGAGGCGGGGGCCCGCGTCCGGCGCGCGCCCGAAGTGCACCAGCGAGAAGGGCGGCTGCGCGCCGGGCGCCGCCGCAGGGCCGGCCCGGGCTTTGAGGTCGAGGGCGCCCTGGAAGGCGGTCACGTCCCTCAGCCGCACCTGCAGCATGCCGTGCTGGGAGATCAGCTGCTGGCAGGTGGGCAGATCGATCAGCTTCACGGACTTGATCCACATGCCAGGCCCCTGCAGGTCCTCGCCGCCCGCAGCCGGTGGCAGCCGCGAGCGCGCGTCCGCCCCCTGCAGGCGGAGGCTCGCCACCCGCTCTGCGTCGCCATCGCCGATGGAAACTAAATTCTTGAACTGCTTGCACTCGCGCCGGAAGGCGTTAATTTTGAACGTGAGCGGCGCGTTAAGTGGCTTGGCGGCAATGTGCATGCTTCTCACATGGGGCAACAGCTGGGGCATGAACAGCTGGCACGACTGGTCCACCCAGCCTGGGGCGCTGTTCGTGATGATGATGACGGTCCCCAGTGTCTGGGCCATGTTCAGTGTCTGCAGAGCCACCAGGGCCAAGGCGGATACCTGTTTCTGGACGTCAGGTCGCATCGGTACGTCGGCAGACAGGGCGCGAACGCGCAGAAGCCAAGAAGTCGGCAGGACTGTGTCGTCCCAGTCGAACACCAGCAGGGTGTCCTGCTTCAGAGACGGGGCCGAGGCGACCTGCTCTTGATCCTCGTGCTCCCGGTCCTCAGCCGTCGACCTGGTCGCAGGACCACTCTCGTCAGAGCGGTGGGCCTCTCCCATGGCGTGCCTCGCATCGCCCGGCAGGCCCTCGGCGCGCCGGTCGGCACCGCGAGCCCGGCCCGCCGGCGAAGCGCCCATGAGGGGCCGATTTCCACCACCACTGCCATGGGTAGGACAGTGAGCAGGAGGAGGAGGAGGAGGAGGAGGAGGAGAAGGAGGAGGAGGAGGACCTCATTGTCCTCCCTTCTCCTCCGTCCTACCTATGGTGGTGGTGGTGGAGAACTGGCCCATCAGCTCAACTCCACCGACCCCAGTTTGGGCGACCTGCAGCGAGGCGCTCACCGTGGGGGAAGAAGCCCACCCCACAGCCGTGCCGCAGCCGCAGCTCGACGGAGCGCCCGCGCGGATCTCGAGAAGCGCTACTGAAGCCAAAATGGCTACGCCAGGTATGCAGGCAGTTTTCACGGTGACCAGCGCACAAGGCAAAATTGGCCCGCTCCAGACACACTGAATCCAGAACAAGCGTGGAAGCCTCCTAGATGGGGTCAGAATAGACGTGGTCGGAGGATCGCACCGCCTCACCGATGCATCGGCGATGCATTGACGATGCACCGGCGACGTCGAGGATGTACTGGCGACGTCGGCGCGGAGAAACTTGGGCTCCACATCGAGCTGCATCGCCGATGCATCTGCGATGCGGCGCGATCCTCCGACCCGAAGGAGGCAACTACTGGGAGGTCTTCGTCGGAAGGAGTAAGGAGGATTAAGACCCATTTGGGGGCTGTTACGCCAGAGTGGGCCTCGGATTAAGCGGGATTAAGCTGGATCAAGCGGGATTAAACTGGATTCAGCGGGATTAAGCCGGATCAAGCCGGAATAAGCCGGATGTCGGACCAGGGCAAAATCAGAATTAAATTCTGATTTTGCCTCCGAATTCAATCTGACCTCCCAGGAGTCAAATTCAATTTGACCTCCCAGGAGTTGCATCCGAAAGACCCCATCTGCTCTGACCCCAGCCGGGAAGCCTAGAGATTGCCATCTCTCCGGGGAGCAACCGTTGCCTCCGCCAGTCTTCCCGTGGCGGAGCCGCCCCCGTGGCACTTCCGCCCGCTCCCGCTGGCCTCCCGCCGTGCCTCCGCCGACGAAGGAATACGGTGGGTGCATTGGATAAGGAAGCATTGGATAAGTGGTCCAGGGTCTGCAAGCCAGCGGGACTCCGATCGTGCATCGGCCATGAGTATCGCCGCCGCCCTCATTGGACAAGGAATCCTCCAGGGTCTGGCGCCTCCTGAGACTATTCCTTAACAAACACCTCCACCGTATCAGCTCTCCACCTCCTGAAGGCAATGACATTTCTGGAGCTCCCTATCTGTGATGGAGAAGGATCAGAGGGGCGGCTTGCTCAGGGAGGGAATCGAGGCTGAATCGGCGATGCATGGCCGACCGACTGGCGATAGGCTCTCGACCGCGAAACTGCACGTGCCTGGGCAGGGTGAGCAAAAGGTGTCAAGAGTCGATGCTTTCCTTTGCTCGGGCATGTCCTCCTACAGGCGGATTTTGAAGGACAAGTTCTACAGAAAATGCCAAACAATACTCAAAAAGAATCGAACATATTCAACACATCGTCCCTGGACTATGTCTTAATCCCGTTTCGAATATCACTCCTGTAGAGGGACACGCCTGACTTCATGCTTCCCCCCCTGAGCTCACTCCCCCCCTCAACGAAGCTGGACCCCAGGCCAGCCGCCGAGCCTACGAGGCTGCCACAACTTGGTGATACGACTCTCGGCATGTGGCTCCCCTGCCCCCACCCGCGCCAACAGAGGCACGCTGCCCGCCAACCGAAGAGTAGGGGAACGAACAATGACCTGAGCACGCAAAAACTCAAAGGTCCGCGCGGATTTCTCGGGCCCCCTGGCGGCGCCTCCGCCGCCCAACCCTGGCGCGCTCCCGAGAAATCCGCGCGGACCTCCAAGTTCTTATGTTTATGCCAGTGTTCGTTTACCTACAGAGGGCCTCCCCCCCCGTGGCTCACCGCCAGGGGGATCGCGACCTCGTCGGAGGTCACCCGGATGGCGGCTGCCTCGAGAGGCGGCTGCTGTGCGCAGGAGGCCGCCAGCGAACTGCACGCCACCAGCTGGCCCTGGCCAGGCCCGTCCTAGGCCGAGGATCGGTGGACACGCCTTGCCCGTAAAGTCGGCGTCGTGCTTGTTTGTATGGCCGCGCTAAAAAACCGAAGCGGCTCCCAAGAGGTCTGCCCCCCTCCCGCGAGACCAGGTTTCGGGGGCGGCCAAGAGGGGGGTGTCCAAGAGGGGGGGGTGCAAATCATGGCTGGCGGCATGTGCGCGGCCCAGGGGGGGGGGCCGGGCACGCATTAAAACAAGAAGAGGCGCCATGAAACCTGTGGAAATATCATGGCCCACGCCATGATATCCCCCCCCCCCCTAGTCATCACCCCCCTCTTTGCCGCCCCCGAAAAAAACGAAGCGGCTCCCAAGAGGTATGGACCCCTCCCGCGGGACCAGGTTCTGCGTCCCGGTTGGGTTTTGTTGACGGCCCCAGGGCCCAGAGACTGCCCCCAGAGGTGCCGGAGACGATCAACGCCCATCGGTTGTGTTTGTTTGAAGGGGCCCTGGGACACGCAAATAAATGTACACAAATAAAAAGATCCCCCATACTTTCCCATATTTTCTCGGTTTTTGTTTCCCCCCCCATTTCCCATATTTCCCATATTTTCCGGGGGATCGACGACTAATTGTGTCTGTGTGCTTTTTTGCCCCTCCGGATTGTTTCGCGACGAGAAAAAATCCAGGGGTACAATCAAGACGCCGAGAGAGCCACCGCTTTGGGCCCAGGAGAGGCTCTGGCTCCCTGGGCCACTCCTCAGATCCAGGTCGGGGAACCTATTCGTGGCCAAGGCCCGCCGGCCCCTTCCTTCCTTCTCGGGGGCTCCTTCTGGTAGCGCGGTGACTGCACGCCCTCCTGGCCCGGGACCGGTGCTGGAGCGCAGAGCTGGCGGCGTCCTCCTCCAGGGGAGCTCTCGCTGCGAGGGGGGGTCGGGGCGCGCCGGGGCGGCACGCCACCTGGGGAGCAAAAGGGCCCCCTCCCCACCCCCCCCGTGTTGAGAAGCAGGCTTGCACCACGACGGGGCAGTGATGCAGACGCGAGCTGGCGCGATGGCAGAGTCCGGGTTTCCAATGTCCTGGATTCTGTGGCCGTGCGCCCTTCTTTTGAGGATCTCCCTGGGCGGAGAGGAGGGGGGCTGCGCGGAGGTTGGCGCCTCTGGCGAGTCCAGCTTCGGCAGGATCGCGAGGACGATGATGACGCAAATTTCCTTGGGCGGGTGCCCGCGATGCCCCGCTCCTGCTCATCCTGGCCCTCCTCCTCCTCCTCCTCTTCCTGTCGCCTCCTCCTTCTCTTCCTGCTGATCCTTCTCATTGTCCTCGTCCCTCTACTGTTCCTCCTCCTCCTGCTCCTCCTCTTCCCCCTCTGCTGTTTTCCTCTCCTGGAGCCCTCTTAATAGAACTCTTATCTCCCCCCTTTGCTTGCCCTCCACCTCATCAGGAACGAGTGTGCCTTATCATCGCATTGTGTACACATGTCTTTTAGTACCTGTGTAGATAATAAACAATGCATACAAGTATACACGCACATACATACCTGTGTTCACGTACATATGTGTCTGCATGCGTGTATATATATGTATATATACAAATGTATATGCATTTGTGTATACATATGAATACACATATACATGTATATGTGTGTATGCGCATATACATGTGCATAGATGTATGTGTGTGCATGTATAACCTGCAAGGAGTGGTAATCTCAAGAGCGGCGGATCAACTGTACACAGACACGCATAATGTCGTGTGTCGACCTGTGGCGACGGCGCAAGCCAAGTGTCCGGCAGCCCTGGTGGCTACAGGCAAAACGTGCGGTAGCGCATCAGTCGAGGCGCCCGGTGGTGCGTCCATAGGTCCTCCTCGCCGGCAGGTGGCACAAGGCGTGGGTCCTTCTGGCGCGCTGTCCAGCGCGTCGGGGCAATCGGAGCTCTGCGTCTACCCTTGCCTGCTGGTCAACATTCCATGGAGCAGCATGCGCTTTTACCCAACTCCAGCAGCGCGGGCGACGGGAATCAAACCAATGCGCCAGCAGACAAATCTTCTGCCGGAAATCCACCTTGCAACATGGACAAACCGTGCCGTGAAGGTAACACTTGGCCTTCGTAGTCACTCTGTGCGCGATGCGCTCATGGCACGCTCGGGCGCGCGGGGAGGCGAAGAAAGCACTACACATCCGGCACTTCACTGTGAGAGGCGTTGCCGAGGACACGGTGCAGTCGCGGCCCAGGCAAGAATCGCAGAAATGCGCGCTGCCCACGGTGTCGGCCCATGTGAGGCGGTCAGCCACCAGTTCGTCCCACTGGAGCGGTGCGTCGAAGAAGCCAGGCATGGCAGGAGGCACCAAGCCCTGACGACGCAGGAACTCGCAGTCCGCAGCGACGAGCCTCACCCAAGGCAACGGTTGCCCCTTCGGACGGAAGTGCAGCAGCGCCACAAGGTCCGAAGGGCGCAGGAGCACCAGCCGCTGCAAGTAGCGCAGCCTCATGGTCATGAGCAGGCTGTCAATCGATGCCGCTTTCAGTCGCTCACACACGACGCGGTCAGACCACTGCACGTCAGGGCCGAACCGAATATCTATACATATATATATATATCTATATATGTATGTATGTATGTATGTATGTATGTATGTATGTATGTATGTATGTATGTGTATGAGCATATACCTAAACACATAGATGCATGTATATACAAGCATACGTCAGACATACAGATATACATACATATGAGTATGTATCTCTCTCTCTCTATATATATATAGCTGTCCGCCACCGCACTTGCAGCGGCGCGGGGTGTGTCGGGCCCTCTCGCTCCTTGCGAATCAAGACTTCGGCCCCCCGACGCATCGAGCCCAGGATGCGTCCACTTCTATGACAAAATCCCCGCGTCTTTGGCCTTCCGGGCAGAGGACGTGCCCAGATACGAGGACGGGGGAGGGACGCTCAGTGGAACATCCCCCTTCCCCCCGGCGCCCGCACCTCCCCCCGGGGCGTCCGCCCGAGCGCGGTGGCGGAATCGCACGGCAGCGCCACTCGATATATATATATATATATGCATAGATACATATATGTATATATATACGCATATAAATATATGAATGCATGTATGAATGTGTGCATCCATACATGCATGCGCGTATGTTTGCATGTATATATATATATATATATATGTGTGTGTATTTGTATGCATGTACGGATGGATGTATGTATGTATGTGTGTATGCATGCATGCATGCATGCATGCATGTATGCAAGTGATGCATGTGTATGTATGTGTGCATGCGAGCATGCGTGCATGCATGCAAGCATGCATGTATGCATGCATGTATGTATGTTTGTGTGTGTATGTATGTATGCATGCATGTATGTATGTATGCATGTGTATGTATGTATGTATGGCTGTATGTATGTACGTATGTGTGTGTGTATGTATGTATGTATGTAGGTATGTATGTGTGTATGTATGTATGTATGTATGTATGTATGTGTGTATGTATGTATGTATGTATGCATGTATGTATGTATGTATGTATGTATGTATGTATGTATGTGTGTATGTATGTATGTATATGTGTATGTATGTATGTATGTATGTATGTATGTATGTATGTAAATATGTATGTAACTATGTATGTAAATATGTATGTATGTATGTATGCATGCATGCATGTATGTGTGTACGTGTATGTGTGTATGTGTGTATGTATGTATGTATGGATGCAGGTAGGCAGGTATGTATGTGTGCCTGTATGTATGTATGTATGTAGGTAGGTAGGTAGGTAGGCATGCATGCATGCATGTATGTATGCATGCATGCATGCATGTATGTATGTATGTGTATGTGTATGTATGTGTGTATGTATGTATACGTATATGCGTGTGTGTCTGTATGCTGCATATATGTAGGTACGGATGCGTATATGTGTGTACGGAACCCCCTGTCGCACCACCAGGCGTGTCCGAGGGCACGGTGGAACGATTCGCTTGACGTCCTTAAAATACGGTCCCGAAGTTATAGAACTCCAACAAGGTCAAGGATGGCGGGCCGGCCGTTTCGAAACCCGGCCGTGGTTCAGGGGAGACCGAAAGGCACCGACACCGCTGCTCTCTGGACAATCTCCCAGGGTAAGAATCCAGCGGTGGCGACGAAGGCCTCCCAGCAAAAACTTTAGAACGAGGGAGGGGCCGCGGCATCTGTACCTTCTCATACAGGCGATACCTTGATTGTTGTCGATACGCTGTCCCCAGAAGTCCTGACCCTTTACCCAGGGCTGGCTTATCATCCCGAGTCGCGTTGTGGCGATCCCGGGGAAGGAGGAATCGCGACCTGGGTTTTGGCCTGTGAGCTCTTGTTTTTGCCTTGCGCGTCGGGCCCCTGGGCCCTGCCAGGAGCGCGCGCGCAGAGCGTGGGGTGCTCCGCGGCTCCGCTGCCTCCGTGCCCCAGCCCACAGAGGGGATCGTGACCCGGGTCCTGGCCGGTGGAGCTCCCGGGACTCAAAAGAGGGATCGTGACCCGGGTTTGGGCCTGTGGGTTGTTGGGATCCTCGCGTGTCGGCCCCCTGAGCCCTTCCAAGAGCGCACGCGCGGAGCGGGGGGTGCTCCGCTGCTCCCGTGCTGGGATCGATGTGTGTTTTGCTAAGCGCTTGCGTTCCATATAATCATGTATAATATGATCTATTTGCTTTGTACACATATTATAAGTTGTTGCAAGTGCTGCAAGCTATATATATATATATACCATATACATGTTGCGGACCGTGGTTGTAAACAGGCCCATGGTGATAGCGACCTTAGGCACGTGACCTTTCCTCCGAGCTGTTTTTACGAACCATCTTACCGTAAACGAGCGAACAAGCATAACACCCTTACCATCCTTCTTATCGGGCTTAGGGATCTTGGTCCGAATATGTTTGTATAGATTTCGAAGGTAGAACAGATCTGAGTTAGTAACCACGGTGGCCAAGTTTACTAAGTAGGTTAGCCAGAGAGCATGTGATGCGGCTGTGACCATATGCGCACACATATTTTCAGATCTTGTTCACATTCTTTCAGTTGTTGCTCGCATTTGTTATTATTTCCGCTGCCATTTCTAATCAAACTTCGCCTCAATTTGATTTTGTGCGCAGGTGTGCACGCCAGCGCTGACGTGAGTGCATGATCCGCCATGGACCACCCGACTCTGCAGGCGAGCTTGGCGAAGGTCGCTCCCTACATCAATGAGACGATCGCAAAGTTCAGAGATGGCGACTGCGAGGCATTGAAAGCGAAGTCCCACGAATTGATAGAGCAGTTGTTGGCCAATGATCTTGCGGTCAAGGAAGTTCACGATTGCAAAGAAGTCGGCGTTCATTGCGACAACAGAGACGGCATTGGGATTGAAGTTCCCGATGTGCACGTTCTCATTCAACGGATTTGCCAGGCGGGCTGGGACCCGAGGGTCCCGACAGCGATTGCGTTCGAGCGGCCTGACGGCCCGCAGGGCAAGAAGATGATGGATTTCAACTTGAAGCTGATCGCCGACAGCGACGGGCACCTCGCGCCTCTGATCGACCATGAGGTCAAGATCTTCTCCGTGAGCTCGTCCCACACGGTCGCGGGCCACCGTTGCGTTAGGATAGTTGGGTCGAAGTGCTCAGCCACATTACCTTGGCCAATCCCCATGCAAAAGGGCGCCTCGGAGCGCGGAGGTAATCGCGCTTCGCGCTCGGCGGCCTCGGCTGGCGCGAAAACATCGACGACGACGATGACGACGACGAAAACTACGACGACGACGACGCTGGAATGCACGACATCCCCCTTCTTCGAGGAGTCGGGCGTGGGGGGGAGGGGCAGGTGGTCGAGGCGGTGGCAGATCATTTCGCCCAGGCATGGATCTCTTACTACGTTGAGCGACACTTTCTCCACTGACTCGAAGCTTGCAGCCGAGAAGATCAAGCAGAGGTTTCCAGCCTACAGGTCCCCGCTGGAAGATGGGATGACCTGGGTTGTGATCAGGCGCCAGGTGGAACAGGCGTGCCCTCAGCTGCCAGACTTTATCCAGGCTTCCGAGAACGCAGGGCACGGAGTTGAACAGGCTGCCTCGAAGCTGCAGGTGATGAAGCGCATTCACAGTCGCGCAACCGCCAACCAGAAATCGTCGGGCGAGCCATGCTGGGAGAGGATTGCGCGATCGATCGAGCAGCAGTCGCACCACATGGCTGGTCAAGCCATGGACGTGTGTCATTTCGTGAAGGCCTACAGTGGCGGCGACCCGCCAGTGCATTTGAACGACCTCGACAATTGGAGCAAAACGTTGAAGTGGAGGCGGGATATTCACGGCAGCACTTTCAAGTTCTTAGCCGCCACGCCGTTCAGTCAAGGACCTGAGTATATTTTCGCTGCACTCAAAGCGATGATGGTAGCGCCAGAACAAGCCGTCAGAGATGGTTTCTCCAGGCTTTTCACCAGCACGGACGTCGCAGCAATCGCCGGCTCGAAGAAGGGCCTTGCCATCAAGATTGTCACCTACATCCGCACGGGCCGTGAGTGGCTGGACAAGAGCTCGATCCCGCCCTCCAAGAAGCTCAAGATCAGGGGCGACTTCGAGGTGGCAGCGGTCATGTTCGCGCACAACAAGAAGGCGAAGGGCCGCCCGATCTACAACAACATTGAGGAGGTTGCGGCGAGCTTTATTCAGGCGGCGTTCGACGCGGACCCTGAGCTCAGGAATAGCACCCTGCCGTGGCCGCACAAGGAGACGCCCGCGGTTGCGCGGGCGACGGGCAGCTCCATGGTGCAGTTCGGCGGTGAAGGCGTTGGACCTGAGACCCTCGAGCAGTGCGGCATCCAAATCGGCTCCGAGCTCGAGCTGAAGATGAAGGACAGCGACGAGAGCAAGGGCAGCAAGGACACGTTCAAGCTCGTTGCCATCAAAGGCAGCACGGCCACGCTCGAGAAGGTATGCACTGACAAGCAGCGCAGGCAGGCCAAGCAGCATGGCGAGGGCAAGGTGACCATCAGCATCGGCCAGCTCGTGGACGAGTACAAGGTGGCATGTATTGAAAACTGCAGGCGTTGTTTTAGTTGGCGTCTCGAGCGAGAGCGTCATTTTGGAAGATACGTCATATTCTCGACGATTCGCGCGTCTCCAATAGCCCATCCCGAAACGATGCCCATGCGAGTTTAGGTGATGAGGGAAGTGCAAGAGCAAGGAGGGGGGGGGCAGCCGAACCGTTCGCAGGATGAGGAGGATGAGGAGGGGGAGGAGGAGGTTGCGAAGGGGATGATAGATATATTGATGCGGAATGAAGGAAGCGGATGGTAAGTAGGACGAGGGGGAGGAGGATGATGAGGAGGAGTATGAAGATTGATGAGGAGGGCCACCAAAAGGGCCAGAGACCGCTTGGCTGCCCCTCAGAATCCATCGGGATATCCATTGGGCGTTTCTTGGATGCCTCGGATGGCAATCGAACGCGAACAGGCGAGAACGTAACACACATTGGGGTTTTTACGTTTTTGCAAGATGATTGCTCCTTCGGCGCCTCCTGGTCCATGGCCTCACGGCCCTAGCAAAGTTGGAGAGGCGGTCTTTGTGCATATCGGGTAATCTTGGACGCCAGGTTGAGGCATCATTTGTTGTCGGCCCCTGCAACATCTTTAAAGTAAACAAACACCGCCCTCAAAGCATCCGTAAAGCGCGACCCCTGAAACATCCCCAACACACGGCCCTGAAAATTCCCTAAGATAAAACACAGGCCCCAACACAGTCCTAATGCACGGGCCCTGACACATCCCTAAAGCACGGCCCTTGAACCATAAAGGTAAAACACAGCCCCTAAAACGTCCCTAAAGCACTGCCCCTGAAACATCCATCAAGCACGGCCCTTGAAAAATCCCTAATGTAAAACACAGCCCCATAAAACATCCCTAAAGCACGCCCCCTGAAGCATACCTAAATCACGGGCCCAACTGCGTGCACAATGCCGATCCGAGCGACGGCCAGCCAACGCCCGAAGACGACGACGACGCTGGGATACCTGAGGACCTCGTGGAACCGCCTCGGGCAATCCTGGACGCTCCACCCCCCCCCCCCTTCCCCGCCCAGGCCAAGGGGAGGGAGGGGTAGCCCCATACACCACGTAGGCACCATGGAGGGCTGGTTGGATTAGGTAGCTCACTAAATATGTCAATGTTCTCCAGCAAGAGCCTCATTGTTTGACAAATGACGCCATGGTGTAGTTATTCCATCACCCCGCCCCCCCACCCCCACCCCCAGAACCCACCCCCCTGCCGCTTTCCGTCAGGTCACCGAGAAGGACACGAAAGTATCTCACATCGTGACCGCTGCATCGCTGGACCGCTGCCGCATGCCTCTCTCTCTCTCTCTCTCTCTCTCTCTCTCTCTCTCTCTCTCTCTCTCTCTCTCGCTCGCTCTCTCTCTCTCTCTCTCTCTCTCTCTCTCTCTCTCTCTCTCTCTCACTCTCTCCCTCCCTCCCCCCCTCCCCCCCTCCCTCCCTCCCTCCCTCCCCTCCCTCCCTCCCCCCCCTCCCTCCGTCCTCCCCCTCTTTCCGTTTCTCTCTCTCTCTCTCGCTCTTTCTCTCTCTCTCTCTCTCTCTCCCACTCTCCCCTTCCCTCTCCCTCTCCTCATATGTACCCCCCCATCTCTCTCGTCATTCATCCTCTCCCTCTCCCCCATCTCCCTCTTTCCTCCCTCTCCATCTCCCTCCCTTCCCTCTCCCTGACGACGACGACGACGACGACGGCGACGACGGCGACGGCGACGGCGACGGAGACGGCGACGGCGACGACGACGACGACGGGGGAGGGAGTGTAGGATGAGGAGGACGAGGAGGAGGAGGCTGAGGAGGCGGATGGGGAGGGGGCGGAGGATGAGGATGAGGGGGAGGATGAGGGTGAGGATGCGGATGAGGATGAGGATGAGGATGAGGAGGGGGAGGAGGAGGCGGAGGAGGAGGAGGAGGAGGAGGAGGAGGAGGAGAAGGAGGAGTAGTAAGAGGAATAAAATGAGAAAGCGACCTCCCCCTGTGCCCGCCCCCCTACGGGGGCCTCCGCCAGCTCACGGCTGCGGCGTGATCTCGCCCACCACCCCAGGGGGGGCGCCGACCGTTCGCCCGCGCCCACGCGCCGAGCATGGCCCATTCGCTGTGCTCGGCGCGCGCACGCGATAGAGGGCGTTGACGGCCCCCGAGCCTCCGCCCTCGCAACGGCGGCCGCGGCCTGGAACTCCGCCCACGCTATAGATCGACGGCGCCTCCTCGGCCACCATGCGGCGACGCTCGTCCGCTTCCACGAAGGATGTGAAGAGCGTCGCCTGCTCGAGGCTGGCTGCGTCCCACTGGCGCTCGGGCCTCCTGGCCTTCGCCTGCAAGTCCGCCAGGCGATATGCCGACGGTGCCTCGACGGGAGGCTCCTGCGCCTGCGCCGCGGCGGGCGTCTCGGCGGGAGGCTCCTGCGCCACGGCGGGCGCCTCGACGGGAGGCTCCTAGCTGCGCCCCGACGGGGGGCTCATACGCCACGGCAGGCGTCTCGACGGGAGGCCCATGCGCCGCGGCGGGCGCCACTGGGCGCGCTGGGGGCGGCTGGAATCGCCCGCGCTGGCGGATGGCGAGATTGGCGACCTTCTCAACCACCATGGGCGGTGGCTCGAACGGCTTCGGCGCCCCCTCGCGGCGCATCGCGGCCACGGTCGCGCGACAGCGCGGCCGCCCCGCGATGCTACATATGGGGGATGAGGCGGAGGCGGAGGATGGGGGAGGAGGAGGAGGGGTAGGAGGAGGAGGAGGATGAGGAGGAGGAGGAGGAGGAGGAGGAGGAGGAGGAGGAAGAGGAGGAGGAGGAGGAGGAGGAGGAGGAGGAGGAGGGGGAGGAGGTTCACAGGCGGTCTCGATCGAGTCGCTCGAGCCTCGAGTCGCTCGATCCTCGGGACACCACTCCGCATCGAGCCGCTGGGGCCTCGATATTCGAAAGTGATCGCGGATCGACGGCGACGGCAGCGGCGACGACGCCGACGACGGCGGCGGCGACGACGACGACGATGATGACGACGACGACGATGACGACGACGACGGCGACGACGACGACGACGGCGGCGGCGGCGGCGACGACGACGACGACGACAGGGGGCAGGAGTTGTCCGCCCCAGCGTGTCCTCATAATCACTTGGCAAAGTGGTCCCCAACGGGGCTCTCACCAAGCGGGGGTGGCATCCGAAAGTGTTCTGACGAGGCAAACCCCTCCCCACGAAAATCCTGCTGACAGGCGCAGCCCCCCTTTTACCGAATGCCAGTCTACAAAATTATTTACATACCCTGTAACGCCCCTCACGGGGATAGAAACCACGTTGACCAGGCTTGCTCATGGATGCGTCGTGCGTTCATTCTCTGTCTCCTCTCGTGCACTTCGCCCGTGGTCTCGACAGCGGCCATCGGGAGCTAACATCAAATAAGAACGCCATGATTGGATACTGGTGCTTCGGGCCGTCCCCGCGGGAACCGTCGGCACTGGCCCCCCTCCTCCCGCTCCTCGCCCCCCTCCTCCTCCTCCTCCTCCTCCTATTCCTCCCCCTCCTCCTCATCAGCATCGTCCTCCTCCTTCCCCTCCCCCCATCCATGCAACGTATACCTCGCGCATTGCTGCCACTTGCTGCCACTTGCTTCTGGCGCAATGCTGTCACTTGCTTGTCGCGCATTGCTGTCACCTGCCTGGCGCGCCCCAGGACCACGCCGACCTGATCGTGCAGAACGCCGTGAGCTTGGTCAGGCACTCGCTTGCTTCTTGTTATGCGCAGCATTGCCAGGCTGGCAATCTATCGTTGGTTTTTGCTTCTGCCTCGAAACCTTACGCAGAGAGAGTGGTTAGCAGGGCAAAGTTTGAAAAAGGGAAGCTTGTGCTGATCCCTCTGACCACGTCTATTGGCTCGGGCACGAAGGCACCCGCAACAAGCGTCGTCATCCCGCAGCTTTCGCTGAAGGATGCGCAGGGGAGGGCGCTCCAAGTGTGGCTCAACCCTCGCTCGGAGCAGCCCTCGAAGGACAAGGCTGGCTTTCTCGTGCCGTTTTGGCACGTCGGGAAGGCCGTCGTTGGCGGCAACATGGCCATGGGCTCGTTGCGCGTCAATGTTTCAAGTGAGGGGGCGTCTGCGTCTGGCCCGTTTCCTGGCCCCAACGTCAGGGGCATTGGCCCGAAGGCTGAGTCGGTTCTGATCCCTGTCATGTTCAATTCGAAGGTTGTGACTGCGGGGCAGGAGCTCCAGTGGTCAGACGCACCCAAGCGGCCTGCTGATTCTGAGGGGCCAGAGGAGAACCCTCTCAAGAAACGTTCGTGAGGCCACTTTCTCGCGGCAGTTGCGCATTGCTCGCCCACTTGGAAGGGGCATATGGATGGGCATATATATAGAGAGAGATATGTGGATATACATTCATATATATATATATAGGGAGAGGGACTGAGAGATCGAGAGGAGAGAGCGAGAGAGAGATAGAGATGGAGAGAGAAATGGAGAGAGAGAGAGAGAGATAAACGGAATATTACATACATATACAGAGGTAGAGAGAGGGAGAGGTGCATATACATACGTGTATCTATATATATATATAGATACAGACTGTGAGAGAACGATAGTGGGCGTGCGATTGCGCGTGTCGCGGCGCTCGGCTCCGCGGCAACTCGCGCGCAATGGTTGCCCCTCGGATCCACGGCAGCTCGCGCGCAGTGTCGGCGCGCCAGCATACTCGCTCTGTGGTGCACAGTTTTCCGCTGCGCCTGTCCTTCCCCGCATTGCTTGCAGGGGCGCGCCCTCAACGTTTGCTTGTTGCTTGCAGACGTGCGCCCTCGCCGTCGCGAGTGAATGTATCCAGTGCAGCGCCGTTGCACTCATCACCACTCCTCCTCCTCCTCCACCTCCTCATCCTCCTCATCATCCTCCTCTTCCTCCTGCATCCTCCGCCCCCCATCACCCCTCCTGACTGACTGACTGGACTGACTGACTCACTGGGCTGACTGACTGACTGGACGGACTGACTGACTGACTGACTGACTTGACTGACTGGCTGGACTGGACTGGT